CTTGCTCTGTCACCCAGGTTGGTGTGTAGTGGAGGGATCTCGGCTCACTGCAACCTCCTGGGCTCAAGTGATCCTCCCACCTCAGCTTCCCGAGTAGCTGGGACTACAGGCGCAAGCCACCATGTCTGGCTAATTTTTCTATTTTTAGTAGAGACAGGGTTTTACTATGTTGCCCAGTTGGGTCTGGAATTCCTGAGCTCAAGTGATCTACCCACGATGGCCTCCCAAAGTGTTGAAATTACAGACGTGAGCTACCACGCCAGGCCTCAGTTTCATTCTTTTGCATGTAGATATCTAGTTCTCCCAGTACCACTTGCTGAGGCCACTTCTTTCTCCATTGAATGATCTTGACTATAGATGCATACTTTTATTTCTAGACTCTCAAGTCTATTCCACTCCTCTATATGTCTTTACATCAATACCATAATTTTTTTTTTTTAATTACTGTACCTTTGTGGTAAGTTTTGAAATCAGGAAGCATGAGCTTTTTAAATTTTTGGGTCCTTTGTAATTTCATATGCATTTTAGCGTATACGTTTCCATTTCTTCAAAAATGTTGTTGAATCTGTAGCTCTATCTGGGGGAATATAGCCATCTTCACAATATTATGTGTTTGAATCTGTGAACACTAAATGTATTTTTTATTTTTATTTTTTAATTTGAGAAGGAATTTCACTCGTCACCCAAGCTGGAATGCAGTGGTGCGATCTTGGCTCACTGTAACTTCCACCTCCCGGCTTCAAGCAATTCTCCTGCCTCAGTCTCCCGAGTAGCTGGGATTACAGGTGCCCACCACAACGCCCAGCTAATTTTTGTATTTTTAGTAGAGACGGGGTTTTGCCAAGTTGGCCAGGCTGGTCTCAAACTCCTGACCTCAGGTAATCCACCTGCCTCAGCCTCCCAAAGTGCTGGGATTACAGGCGTGAGCCACTGTGCCCAGCCATGTCTTTTCATTTCTTTAGATTTTCTTTATTTTTTCAGTAGTGGTTTGTGGTTTTCAATGTATAAATCCTGCACCTTCTTGGTTAAATTTATGCCTAAGTGTTTTATTCTTTTTAATATTATTGTAAATGGAACTTTTAAAGTTTCCTTTTCAATTGTTCATTTCTAATGTGTTGAAATGCAACTAATGTTTATGTGTTGATCTAGTCTTTTGCATCTTTTCTTATTTCATTTATTAGCTCTAATAGTTTTTTTTATTATTTAGGATTTTCTATATATAATATCATGTAATTGGTTCCTTTTGTTGGAAAGGGATATTAAGAAATCAAGATCCCAAGCCTGTAATCCCAGCACTTTGGGAGGCCGAGGCGGGTGGATCACGAGGTCAGGAGATCGAGACCATCCTGGCTAACACGGTAAAACCCCGTCTCTACTAAAAAATACAAAAAAATAG